CGATATGATGTGCTGATGCAGTCGACTACTATGAGCAACGAAAAAATTATAATGCATCACGTAATTTCGTAGGATCATGGCTGAACTATCTCACATTTAATAACGGCTACCATTCTATACATCATTTGTAATACTTTCATAGTGGCAACAGTCCCGTCGTTCTAGCCTCCACATATTTATCAGATATCCCAAGATGCACTGGTCTAGGTTACTATGGAGCATAATAAACAAATAAAGCCACATATCCACCCACAACTAGATCAGCAAAGTATCCATCAACTGTGCTTCGTGACCTGCATCGGTTGTTAATACTATTATAGATATCGGGGCATACATTTTCCGTGCCTTCATCTATCCTGGAGTACGATTGAGATATGATGGCAAACCTGTTGAGATAGACAGTGGGTATATGGCAAGGAATGGTCGTCTGAGCCCCTGTGTTTGAGGTACTAAGCCAGAGCCGGCCGATGAAGATTGGGTTACGCAGTATTATCCTAAGGGTAAGTCCTTCAAGGACTATAACGTTACTAAGATGGATGTACTAGATCATATTCATGTAGTAGTCATGGGTCATCTATGTAGGTACTCATGGCTATTGTCAAGCTTTTACCATTTAAGATCATCTGCCCGACCTACTCCGCAGTAACTAAGGTAGATTGATGCTTACTCATCGTAACGCTGCGGCGATTTTTATCACCAACAACAGTATGTGGTCGTAAGAGATGATATTATTATTATACCATTCAATCCGGAGCTAGGCTACGGGCATCATCATGTGAGTTATGTATTAGTCTATCCCTACTACAGCATTGAGTTATATTAACCGAGCTGTCCGAGTAGTACAGCATCAGCAGCTGAGGAAGGCGGAATGTCAGCTCCTTTACGGTTCCATTGATTCGTCCTTTATCCTCGAGAAGGATGACTAGTGCAGAAAATCTCGCTCCATCATCACATCGAACGACCCACGCGCTCAATGGCGTTCAATAGCCTTATTTCCCGTTTCCTCTAACAATGGCGATCGACTTTCAAGGGCTCCTTTAATGGGTCCAGGCTGACAGGCGGCAAGGGAAGGAGGGCACGATAACTACACCGAGAGGTGTATCACCACAGCCCGTATAAACTGCGTTCGAGAGGGTATTAATAAAGTAACACAGGTGAGGATAATAATAATGATAATAGTGGTGATAACGATATTCTTCTAGATTGCTACTGAGTTCGTATGATTTGCATAGGTACTGCCAGAGTCACTACTAGCCTTTATCATAGGCCAACCGATGTCATCTGGTAGTATCGGGGGACATTCGAGGCTAGTAGTAGCTAAGCAACTTGTTCAAAGCAAGTCCTATATGGCAGGCTTTGATAATGTTATTAGTGTACAGAATGTTGAGGCTTCCATAGTATCCAAATAGGAGGAAGTCGAGAATCCTCAATGAGTAACTAATCATTGTCAGTCCCAACAACACCAGTAGCAATAATGTACCAGAGTATGAGGTACACGAGGTGCCGACATAGTAGATGCTATTGAACACGCTAGCCCTAGGCTCACTAGTAGGGGAATGTGGCAGCTGTTATCAACAAGACAGGAAGATGATTCTACGTCAGTCTTCTTGATAAATTGATTGACGTTTTGAAGCCTCGCACTAAACTACAGGCTTCTCAGCGGTATGCTCGACGCTCCGTCTCTTCCTGTATTGAGAGGACATGGACATACTGTAGTAATATCTGACCAAACGAGATCTTCTCAGAGCCCTACCTGGTCATTGGTTTGAGGAAGCATCCTCTGAGTGTGAACTGGGGTAGGTACCTTATCACACCGGCCAGCTCCCTGTGACAGTCAAGGGCTGTTTACACCCGGTTGCCATGATCTTCGGGGAGCGTTGTCAGAAGAGGCATAGATAACAACTGGAGTGATACGCGTACAGTAGTTATTTCTACCCAATAGCCGGGTAAGCTGAATGTCACCATATGAAACCACCGTGCTATCCTTCTTTTAGCATGACTTGCTGGCTCTATTTGATGGCTTGATGGTATTGTGTTATCATTAGTGTAGGGGGTTATGTGTGTTGACAAGTATCTTGGCTCTGTCTCACGCTTTCATGGATATACTATCTCCGACCACCCCGATAGCGGCAGCTGGGGCATCCATGTTTACCAAGTGCCTCCTGTATCCGGCAGATACCTTGAAATGCCGTGTACAGGCTGGTGTCATTCGGCGTGGCCCTGTGACCCTGACCACACTCTATCGTGGTCTACTACCCAAGCTGGTGCTCTATGTTCCATACCAGTCTCTGTATATGACATCATATCAGTTCTATCGGAGATCTTTTTCTGGCTCGATGCTCGCAAATCAGCACCCACTTCTCATAACAGGCATTTCTGGGGCTCTAGCTGAGATGACTGGTGCGTGCATTCGTCTCCCAATGGAGGTACTCAAGCAGAGGATGCAGACAGGTCGATATGAGAACCTTAGAGTTGCCCTGCGATCGACTATCAAGTAGTACTGCAGGAGGTTGCTAATCTGTATCGAATTCTCAACGCTCAGATCACCACTGGGCTTCATCAATGGCCGAGTGTTCGTAGCTCAGACCATTCTGCATGACATCCCCTTTGGGATCATCCAATGGACAGCTTTCGAGACTATTACCCACCGAGTTGAGACTAAGAGAAGCAATGATGGATCTACTGGACCGTGGGTCCATCTAGCAGCTGGAACACTGTCAGGATCGATAGCGGCTGTACTCACGAACCCGATGGATGTCGTGAAGACTAGAGTCGTCACCACGCCGATGAGTGAGGGAACACCGGCTATATCTAGCGTCATACGATCAATCCACGCTGAGGGTGGTGCTAGGGGATTCCTTAGAGGTTCCCTGTTGAGGCTACTGCATGTTGCCCCCAGTAATGGGGTCTATCTTGCCTTGTTCAGCTTTCTAAACTCCACCCTTGCTAATATTGAATAGCTTCTATGTAGAATATTCCTCTTGGTATATGTTCCTTGCGATATTCCTCGTACAATTCAACATTGATAACTGCTATCATCACTGCGCTTTCCTGTAGGCAACGATCTCTCGTGTTAGTGCACAGTCACGCTTCATTATGCTGCCTGAACAGCATAATGCCTAGGGTAAAACAGATGACCATGTAGTTACACAATCTCACTCTATCCGATATTTCGTCATTGTGATTCACTGATTTCACCCAACACAATACAATTCGTATGCCAATGTACATCCACTACTGAGCGTACTAATCAACGGTCGTCGTCCAGCAATAGGAGATCCCTTCACTGATATTTAGTAGTCAGATTAGGGATAAAATCTTCACATCATTCTACAAGCATTCTATCTCGGTTCTACTAGTATCGCCAAGCATATCTACTTTGACC